AATGCCACACGGGAAAGCTTTATGGACGCATATATGCTAAATGCGTTTTGTTATTAATAATTTGTTTTGTATTGCTTAAACAAGGGGACATTTGAGTGGCACTTATAACTATTATAATGCAAACGACAACCTGGTTTTTTTTTTTATCGTACGGTTTGATGTCCAATGCATGCGGTCGCTTATAACTTGGGTTCGGGACTTGTTGCGCCAAAAATGATTAGAATATGCGATTTGAACTGTCAAAATATGCGATTTTTTATTTAAAAAAAAAAAAAAAGCTCGAAATTCGTATAAAAGTGTTTACCCGGTTGATTCTCTTCCAACGTATTATAGCTACGATAACATTTGTGATTTGCTATATATGTACCAGTTACATGATGTAACTTACATTAGTGGTTTCGTCTATGTTAACCCATCATTTTTTCCCCATTGACATGTGTACAAATTTCGGATAAAATATTTTTGTAGATATTAGATTTCGTCAACATAACTTTTACGCAAAGTATAGACACTAATGGACAATTATTTTCCAGTGTATTCATTAAAACATTTCCGCAACTACTGGTGCTTAATTTATTGACTTATCCGACTATTATTTGATACTTTGGGCATTATTAAACTCGCGAAACAAGACTACGTATTTTAAAAAAAAATACACTGAATTATGTAGGTTAGTCGATAAATAGTAGGTAACAGTAATAATCGGTGGAAATGATAACCACAATACACAAATGTCATACACTACTGATTTTGGCAAGATGTTATTAAGTTTCAATAATTATTTTAGAAATAAATAACAATAGTCATAAGTCGACAACAAGATCTTCAATTATTGTTGGATAAAGATAAACGTATAATTTTACATCCATACAAACTATTTTAGAAAATTCTTTTTAACGTTATACAAACACAATATTAGCTAACAAAATATTATGATCATATAAAGTTAAAAGAGATTGACATAATTCGCATGATGGATGGGCCACTGTTGTAGGTGATAAATTGGGAAGGTAGGATATAGAGGGGAATTTAATGTTTATCTGTGCGTAACGATTAATCATTGCTAACGAAAAACAATATTATGTGAGCGGAGTTCGGTTATACATGTTTTGAAAGGTCCCATTATTTTCATCAAACTTAGATATTAAAATTCTTATAAAAGACAAATTCTGCATTACACTTAAATTTTGTTACCATAAAGTACGATTTATAGTAAACATCTAGTTAAGTTTTCAAGCATTTCTGTTTGGTCTAACAATTTTATCCACAGAGTATTTACTGAATAAAAATTACGTAAACAATTCGCAAAATTAAAATGCTTATAAATAGCTAAAAAACAAAAGTGTCAACAAATTTTTGAAAAGGTTAATACAAGATTTCTATTCAAATTTCAAGTCTTTACGAATATTTTCAACTGAATCACAACAAATAAAACAAAATTGAAAATAATATTAATTTCAATCTATTTTTTCTCATTTTGTTTTCTATCGAAGTCACGAATAAGATACTTCTTATGTTCTCATCCCTCATCCTATCTTTTCTTGTCACTTCTTCACTCATCAATCTAAGCTTTCTAATTTCTGCTACACTCATTCTCTGTTCTAGTAGGCTGTCTACCGCCCAACACTCCGGTTTCTGAATAATAAAACATAGCCTGTCTCACCACACTTAACTCTAAGTCTTATATATATTCTCTTGTCATATAAAATACCTGATAAGCACTTTACTTTATTCAACCACACTTAAACTCACGTTTCACATTTTCAAGAATATCACTGATTTTTTTACAAAAGATTCTAGATACTTATACTTACAATTCTCAATCTCGCTTATACTTAACCCCTTATTGTTGTTAGTTGCCTAGCCCTCTTTCTTCAAACTCATACTCTGTTTTACTTCTACTAATTCTTAGTTTCTTTTCTTCAAGTGCTACTCTCCATTCTTCAAACGTATTCTTAACCTATTCAAGATGTTCTCCTATCAAAACTATTTCATTTGCAGTCATCATACACCATGGTATCTCCTGTTTCACCTGTTGTCCCGGCAAATATCTGAGATGGCAAAATCTGCTAAAATCTTACTTTGAACTCCCCAAACTGTTTGACAGAATTGTCAACCTAATGTAACCCCATTTGTCGGCTCTTATGATAGCAGTAGTACCGAAGTAGTATAAAAATACTCGGGAAAACAAGAAAATACGGTATTATACTGGTCTTCTTTGAGTGTAATACGTATATTACATTACTAATAGTACTATTTTAGATTCTGAGCAAAGCAAGGGTATATTGGTTTTACAATGATGTTAATTTTGTTAATACTTTTTGTTTTTATATGAACACTTTTTCAACTAGTAAGCTTACTCTGATTATCAAAGTATAACACCTTTTCTAAACGAAAATGTTCACTGGATGATATTTTAGGTTTAGAGAGGTAATGTTTTGAAATTTTCATTAATAATCGAGATAATGAGGAAAACCTGGTTAAAGAACCATGTAAAAAAAGATTGAAAGATTAAAAAAAAGGCTGTTATTGGTAATCGTTTTAATTTATTTTTTGTTATTATTAAGTTTATATAATTTTCATCTTTTTTTTAAACAATCATTGTTATCATGGAAACGCACATTGTTGAAAAAAGCAGGTAAATAGGTACTTAAAACTAAACTATATTGTACACAATTAGTTCTTTAAGGACAATGATGGTAAGGATAGTGATTACTGATAAGGATAAGGATGATGTTTTACCTATTTACCACACAAAAAAGTTGTAAACAGGTGGAAAAATAATTGGCTAATTTAATCGTAAATTAAATGAAAAACACATTAAAACTAGTTATACAATCAATATCTTGTCTGATATAATTTATTATTTATTCTATTTATTAATTTATAATTAATTAATTTTATTATAAATCAATCCCAAATATGAAATTGTAGAATAGTAAAATGTTTTTACTACTTACACAAAAACATATGTGTTTACTGGGCAATTAGTTGTATTCAATATTATGCATTATACTTTAATATGACCTATATATTATTGAAAAAGCATCACCATCAAATAAACTCCGCTCAGAATCGTTTTTTTGTTACCAATGGTTTATTGTTGCTTACAGATATACATTAAATTCTCTTCTGCATCCTATCTTCCAAACTTTCCACCTACAACAGTGGCTGCAACCACGTGCGAAGTAAATCCGTTTTTTTGTTATAGTTATATTTTCTACAAATACTATTCATACTATTTATATTTCCCACCACTAGCACCATCCACATACCCACCACCAAAAAATTTGGTCTAGCGGTTGCTCGACCTGTAACCTAAGTTCAGCGCCACTGTACAACAGGTAGAGGTACTGTGGGAATATTCTGATACCCTCCCACAGAGATGGTAAACATTAAAACAATATTTCTATATTTTCACTTCATTACCAATAAATATATAAATTAAAACTGAGCGTGTTAATTCTATCGATACAGTTTATAGTATTTGACTAGTAAAATTAGCACTTTTTTAAAAAAAACAAACCATGCTTTACTAGTGCTGTAGACAGGAATTTAATGAGGAAGGGGTTCATAGTAATGTTACAGTAATTATAGTAATTATATCGAGTTAATTAAAAAAAAAAAAAACTGAGTAACATATTTTCCTATTTTTCTTGGTTTCCTTGATAACTTGTTCAAAACTTCTTTATGTGTAATTATGGTATTTCGGTAATAGTTTAAAAGCCCCAATACATTTAGACGATACTATTTAATAAATAAAATTAAAAATATATTAAAATAGTTATAATCTACCTCTTTTGTGTTATTTCTGAAGTAAGTCTTTACTCTTTTCAAACACGATTTCACAAGAATCTTATAAGGGTTATAAATAAAACAGGAAAATAAAAATTAATATTATTATTACCTACTTATTAGTATTTTTATTTATAAGTACTAAGTGTTTTTGCTCATCAGTCAAACTACAATTTATATGTAAGCCAACATCATTATTTCGAGAATAAATAACCTTTGTAAAAGCGTAATTATTACGAAACATGCAGTTATTAGGTAATAAAAACTTACAAGCAACGACTAAAGAAAATCATAATGTTTTTTCTACAATTAGAATTAGATTTTGATTCCTTAGATTCTGAATGAAGCCAGGAATGTATCGGTTTTACAATGTTTTTTTTTTACACTGTGTATACAAATTTTACTATTTTCAAGTGTAGCATATTTTTTGAAAATTATTCTTGGGGTTTTCCAATTAGTTCTCATAATAATTAAGAAATTACGTTTTTTAATGGAGGTTCATTATAAGTAGTATGTACTCAGTGGCCAAAAAGAAAAAGTTGAGTTTAATGTAGTTTTTTTATAAGAATTTTAATACCAAATTTCCATAGATTTCCAGATTTCCATAGACGGAATATGAAAGACTTTATTTATAATCACCATATTTATAATTACCATATAACATGTTATTGATTATATTTTATAATATCAAAAAATATCAGAAATGACATCAGGTACAACCACACCATAGGCACAACTAGAGACCAAACACTGGAGGTGCTAAAATCATGTAGACGATACGAGCTCGTGGGGGGCTATGATCCCACACCCTCACATACTTCATTTCAATTTCATAAGTACTATAACCATTCTAAAGACATAGTAAAAACATAAGCACACTAATATTTAAGTATATGAACAGTAATATATCTGATAAATACATTAGGTAATTATATTATTTAGGTGATAAAAATAGTGATTAAGTATAAACAGATAAAAAAAAATTATTTTGTTTAGTTACTTAACTTTTAACATAATTTAAAATAATTATACAATTTAATACGTGTTTTGTTTTCTGTAAACCACATTTTGAGTGAAAATATAGGTCTTGGGCAGGTCTTAATATAAAACTAAAACGTATTAAATTATTTGTTAAGAACTATTAATTTGTTATTAAAAATAGTACAACAGTTATAAAGAAAACCACGAAAAAGCCATTAATATTGTTTTCTATTGTGACGGCCTATCAACAGCCTATAAACGATAACATTAACATCCCGCAGTCATAAAAATAATAGGTATAGTGGATATATATTTTGATTCATTCCACAATTTGCTCCTAAGTCTGTAACAAACACGTTAAACACTTTATCATAGAGTGCTATAATTAATTATTATCAATTTATTATCCATTACCCATTATTAGGTATAATCACAGATATAGATAATAAACTAGATTGCTAACTAGTATAAATTCACTAGCAAGTCGGGCGATGCCGCTTATCCGCCATATTGGTTGAAGGCTATGGTATTTTATCCATCTTCTATGAATCATAATAAACATGAATTGTATATATACGGGAGTCAAAATAAAACTGTATAACATAATAAACGACGAACTGAGTCGTGAGAGTACACATATCGGTGAATTATGGCATTCAAGTCTTCATGAAATGTATATTTATTTTAAATAGTGAACAATTTTTAAATTTTTAAAATTGTTATGGTGTTACGAACGGAGTCCTTGGTAAACCATTGCAGAGCACCAAGAGCTCTGCGGAACATGGTTTGGGAACCGCTGACGTATACCATGTCTAGAAAATTCATTCAGCAAAAATTTAGGTTATTTTTCACTGAATTACAATAAAAATACAAAATCGAATTTAACAGAAACTGTTCTCTAAAAATTTTCATTTTTTCAACTTTATTTTATATTTTTTCTCATTATTAAGAATATTACAAGTAAAATAAAAATATTACACCAACCAGAATAATGTTTGCAAGAAACCACTCATCCACCTTTGAAATTGATGAGTTGAGCAAGTATCTGGTAGAAAAACCCGTTTACAAATAGATACAAAAAAGCACAGATCATAGCAAAACTAATTCATTGCTAACTAAAATTTATCAACTTAAATAAAACAATTTAACCGTTTCGTAAAATTTGAATTGGATATATGTACGTTATATTCAATAATAAATTATAATGTATAAAAAAAAATAAATAACACCAGATTAAATGGTGTGTGAATTTAATAGCTATTAATTATTGTTATTACTATTTGCTACTATATATATATTTAATAGTATGTACCGTATGTAATGTAATAACATCTGTTTGAAAGTAAAATCTGGTGTTCCTATTATACAGAGTGATTTTGTTTTTCATTATGAAAATGTGATTTTTGTTTTTTTTTTTCAAAAATTATGGAATTATTTAAGTTTTGTTTTACCACTATTCTAAAATGCTAACCACTACTCCTTATACTTTAAATGAATATTTACTTTTGATTTTTAAATGGTAACCCTAGCCCCCATGTTTAACAGATTCAAAAAAAAGCTGTCCTAGGATAATGGGGTCGGGTGCAACTACTGTTATTGGTAATTGAATGTATACTTGTAAGCAACGATAAACCATTGCTAACGAAAAAACGATTCTGAGCGGAGTTTAGTTGATAGTGATGCTTTGTCAACATTATATAATATGTCTTATGGTAAAATAATTAAGTAGGCATAATATATTTTCTTTAATAAATTTGTTTAATGTAGCGATTTTCCCGTTTTTCCCATGTTTTCCTCCGATTTTTCACATTTGCTGGGGAAACTGTTGGGAAATCAAAAAATAACCTCTCTAAAAGTGCTATCATTGAAAATTGGAGCAAAATCTCTGGTAAAAAGTTATCCACAGAAAAAAAAAAATAAAAATAAACATCTTTGTATAACGATAAGCTTCTTTGCTTCACTCAGAATCTAAAAAATGTTGATATGATGCATCGGAAACATACATCGGATGTACGATTTACCGTGTATGTGTTATGATAACAATTTACAATTTTTACCGGAAGTGTAGGGAAGGGTAATAAATTGCACAAGCACTTTTAGATAGTAAATTTGTTAACGGAAAAACTCAGGAAAAGAATATAATTATGAAAATATTGTAAATAAAAATCATAAAACGAATACATGACTGAAAAATATCAGTATATTTTTTTAAATTCTCGTTGTTAAACACTTGATAATGAACTACGATGAAAAAAATAATATATTTTTAAAAAATCCTGAATACTGTTTGAATTTTTAGTTCCCAGTAATAAAAAAAAACCATTGAAAATTCTAGTAAAACACGGTAGGTGGGATCCATATATTTTAGGTTACATTTAGACATGACGTGTTTGCAAACGAAAATAATACAATATATGTTTATTTATTACTTATTAATATTGTCATGTTCGTGAACATATTTTTCAGCGATTACCTATATTATATAGTTTAAATAATATTTATGAAACTTTGGGAAGGTAACCGACGTAGGTTAATTTAATTTATTTCTATACGCAATGATAAATCATTGTTAATGAAAAACGATTTTGCGTGAAGTTCAGTTAAACACATTTCGATAAACTTAAAATGAAAACTATATACATTTGTAATAATTATAAAATATACTGCAATTGTCCGTGTTTTTTATTTCAAACGTTTGCGCATATTTATGGTTCTCGAAAATTGCCGTGCACATGAATTGAAAATTTTTTACATTTTTCATAAAATGTTGAACATTAATGGGAAAATACGTATGAAAAACAGATTTTCAGTTTTATCATTGATTTAGAAAACTACAAGTAAAATCACAACGAGAAAAATCCTATGGCTGAAGCAAAATTTCTGGTAGAAAAGTTGTTTACAAACACAAAAAATAAATAAAAAACACATTCCATCGTAAAACTTATTCATTCTTCACTTCTTTTAAATAAAATCTTAATACGCCATTGACTATATAGGTACTGTTTCATTGTTGTTTATTTACATAGGCGTGCGCACGGGGCGTGCAAAAAATTCCGCCTGCTTAAAATTTTTGTTTTCGTTGTAAATTAAAATATTATTGCAAATAAAATGTACAACATAATATGAATTGTTTATACTTACATTTTAAACCTATAAATGATAACTCTCTATTTATTATTATCGGCCCATAATAAACATAATATAGACACATAATATGCATGATATACAAAATAATATTTATAATCTATTTTATACCTATGGATCGGTCATACTACACAATATGTAACCGTAAATTTATCAGCTAACGTAAACATCATTTTGATCTAATCATACACATTAAATGATCTATGTGGTAACAGCACGGTTATAGATAATTTAACCACGATAAATATGTTTTTCGATAATTCTCGATCGTCAGCACTCGTTAGCCGTTATCATTATTGTTATTGTGAACTTATTTAATGCCTAGGTATTTATAGATAATAAAAATGTACTTTAGTTTTTAACTAGTGGGAATTTGAGAAGGTAGGTTACAGACGGAAATTTAATGTATATCTGTAAACCATCGCTAACGCATAATAGTGATACTGATAGTGTTGCTTTGGCAAGGCATAATATGTCATATTATGGTAAAACCATTATATATGCATTAAGCATTTTCTTTAATAATATTTGTTTAATATTGTACCTATTTTCCCGTTCTCCCGTCAAAAAAATCAAAAAAAAGTCAGATTTCCTTTCAGAAAAAGTGCTACACTTGTAAATTTGAGCAATATTTCTGGAAGACAAGTTGTTCACAGATAAAAAAAAAAAAGACATTATTGGATAATGGGGTCAGGTGCAGCTACTGTTATAAGTAATTTAATGTACACCTGTAAATAACGAAAAAATAATTCTGAGCGGAGTTCAGTTGATAGTGCTGCTTTGTCAACAATATATGTATGTCATATAATCGTTAAATTCCAATTATTCCAATTCCAAAATTAAAATGGATCCTGTTTTTCTCGTTTTTCCTCAGTTTTTTTACATTTGTTGAGTAAACTCCTGAGAAAATCAAAAAATGAACTCTTTAAAGTACCTCCCCGGTGACATTCCCTTTTAGAAAAATTGCTATCATTATAAGTTGGAGTAAAATTGCTGATAGAAAATTTGTCCACAGAAAAAATATCATAATGTTATACTAATATATTTCGTCTTACATCTTCATGCTTTATCATTACCCATTACAGAAAAAATTAAGGGGGACACATTTAAATTTGGCCAAAGATAAGATGAATTCTCTTTCAACTTTAAAGACTACTCCTACTAAATCTGTTCTGTACACCCTGAAAAGAAATCCTATGCACGCCTATGTTTATTTGTATTGTGATAATTGATAAATGATGATTTTATTGATTTTTACATGATACTTAACAGTTTTAACGAAATAGATAAATTTAAGCCTGAATCTTTATTCTGCTGGAAATTCTCAGGTCTAGATCGAAGAACATTATGTTTCCATGAAATGCGCGTTTGGAGCATTCAGAAGATATTAGATTTGTAGATGGTTGACTAGAAATTGCGTTGCATGGGTGTGTACGCATAATATTTGGGATCTGTATAAGTTAACGTCTACAAAATATTATTTTACAGGAGATAATTTGCATCACAATACCAATGTTTCGTTTTATGGCGTAAAAAACGATATGTGTTTTGAATATAGGTATATGAGGTATATTGTTATCATAATTTATTAGATACCTACAGGTACCTGTGCATTTTTAAAAAACATTTTTTTTTTTTAGAACTCATCTGTCTACTTTTTAAGTTTACCGAATAAGAATCACATCAGCTAAATAACACGTCAACATAATTATGCGGTCAAATGATTTTCTAGGACAAGGTAATATTAGTGGGATGTACGCAAAATACGGTTTTTAGAGTTCACATACAAATTTCAAATATATAGTAAGATAAAGTATTAGATTTATTTTTATAATAATATGTTGGAACCTAGATATTTTAAAAAACACATTTATTAATTATAACTACTTACTTTAATATGTATAAATATATTGTAATGTTGGTTAAAAAAATGAACAGCCAAAATTATTGACGCAACCAGCCCCTCTTGAGAATCCTTTGTAACATATAGTTGTATAATTTGTGTGTCTTAGTTTATTATTATTGCTATAATATGATTTTAGTTTAAATATTTACAATTTGCTTCATCTACTTAAGAGGTAGATACCGAAAGAAATAATTGTGGTTGACAAAGAATTTTGAAGTACCTTATTCATGACTTGGAACAAAGTGAGAGAAAATAGAATGAAATATTTTGTGTAGGTAACGGGATGAGGATAATCTGAAGCAGGAAGAGTTGTAATGGAATTAAACATTGAAAAAAGTTAAAAAGATAGACAGAAATAGAGGTGATTGCATGTGATTGAGAATGATATAAGGACAGCCGGTATATGCGAGGTGGGAGATCGGGTCAGATGGAAATTTAAAACGAGAGTGACTTGTCCCAAACAATTGGGATGAAAGCGAAGGAGAAGAAAAAGATCTAGAGAAAATTAAGACACTAGTCTACTGCGTAGGTATATCCTCATTTATAGTCGTTGGTTATATATAATCAATAATGTAAATTTCAACATTATTTTAGATTCCGAGCGTAACGAAGAAGCTATTGGTTTTACTAAGATGTTTATTTTTTTTCTTATTTCTTTCTTTCTTCTTGTCTGTGAACACGTTTTTTCTTAGTAAACTTGCTCCGATTTTTACGTATAGCAACTTTTATGAAAGCTCAAGTTGTTTTAATGGTACATTAAAGAGGTCATTTTTTAATTTCCGGCGCCATTTTTTAAATAAAAGCACTTAAGTGTGAAAAAACATAGGAAAAGTACAATTTCACGATTTAATTATTTTTTAAAAACACGAACGTTTCTACCAGAAAAAATGATTTAATCGAAAAATCACAAGACACCTTTTTTGTTGCCCTTTGATTTAATTTTTTACGGTATCGTTGCTAAAACTTTTGAGCCACATTTGAGATTTAAGAAATTTTAATTTTTGGAAGTTTTTTTACTGTAGTTCGGTTATGAATACACATAGAGACTTGAATCTTGATAATAATACTTATA